CTGTTAGCATTGATCAGCACCTGCTAGTATTGATCAGTAGCTGTTAGAATTGATCAGGATGGGTTAGAGGATGTGAGGATGTGACTGGAACCAGTAGAATCTATTCACGTGATGCTGTGCTGTGGAGCAGCTGCAGTGCATGCTGGGAGATGCAGCTGCTGCGGCCCTGACTGAGGCTGACTTTAATGAGTCTGTCTGTCTGTCACAGTGGTGCATTGTGGAAGTTTCAGTGAGTAACACCCAGTTTGTCCTGTTTGACCTGATCTGATGCAGCATCCTGATAAATCGACCAGCTGACCCTCACACTGTTTATTCTGCAGCCTCTCAAACAGGAAATCAGATCAGGGATGCTAAAGAATGAAGTTCACACCAGATAAACTAGGAAAAGAAACCAGAGAGAGAAACAATGAAAGAAAAACACAAGGTGATGAAAAAGATCTAACAGAACAGTGAACGAATACAAAGAAAACAGACAAAAATGAATCCATAGGAAGAAAAGCAGCAGTGAGACTCCAGCTGAAGGGCAGACTTCTTCAGAGGGAAACAGGGAGACTAAATCAGGTTAAAAGAGATGAATCTAGATGAGAACAGAAGAAAAAGACACATGAACGAAAAACAGAAGAACCGGTAAACAGTCAAACCTCCATGTTTTACAGACGTTTAATCGTCTGGTGAAATGGTTTTTAATTTTTAGTTGCAATAGTACGAGAGAACACTGAGCTTCATGTTTGTCTGCAGCATAAAGTCCTGCAGCTCTGAGGAACCAGAACATGAAGGAGGAGACAGAACTCAGAGACGTCTTCTGTCAGCAGGACTCAGAACCATGGAGACCAGAGAGAAGGAACGTTTCTTTGATAATTGATTTTATAAAATGTAAAAACCAGGAACCATCATGTTTCCAGATGTTAAACCCTGGAGCTGATGTCTCCTCATCCTGAAGATGCTGAACCATCTCCGTGTGTCCAGACTTTTCCTCTCTGCTCTGCTCATCAGCGATAGAAAGATGTTCCACCATCAGCTGGATGTATCTCCACCAACTGGCTCCTCTGTTCTCTGGTTCTGATCCGTGCTGCATTCATTCATTAATTCATTGGAACTGTAGAATGAATTGATTTCGATGAATCCTCTCTGACAGGCAGACCCAGGCCAGGTGAGGGGGTGGTGGGCGGGGCTTAACCCACTGAGCCCCCATCTGATTGGTGGTGGTGATGATCGCGACCGGCGGCCTGCTGAGGATCAACGCACGGCGACAGGATTCACTGAGGTCCAAACCACACAAAGCACACACACACAAGAGGAAGGACAAGAAGAAGAGGTAACACAGTCACACCCGCACACACACACACCTACACTC